ACTCATCCATTCATACACGTTGCATTTGCTTTCCCTCAGAAATGACAGATTTTGGAGCTAACTTCAGAAAGTACATTTGTTTTTAATGCTTTGACTGTATATTTTGGTGTATTTTTAGGTTCTAACTGGAAAAATGAATTCTTTGAGTCTTTTTTATCCAAACCAGAGGAGAAGAATGCTGAGAAGAAAATAACCCTAACCCATGCGACTGACTGTTTAGTATGAAAACTATAATAAAACACAAGTGGACCCAATAGTGAACTCCAGATTATTTCTGACATGTCACCGACAGCTGAGATGTGTACGACTGATTATTTGTACTTTTCTTCAGAATAAAACATCTGATCAGGAATCAGCGCCCAGATATCAAGGATCAGGGATTGGGTCTTTAACGTGAGCTGACCTCTAGCGTTTCCAGCGAGGTGGCTGTGACACGGCGATGACACACGTCTGAAACATCTCCACAAGTCTCTTCCTTACCAGAAACCCAAGCCACCCAAAGTTTTCAGAGCTGTGCCGGCATGCTTCCTGCCATCGCTCATCACTGACCAGAGTTTAGATCAGCATCTAAATGTCTTCGTCTCCAACCACAGCATGATCAGACTTCTCTAACTGTTGGTGTCCAAACATTCTGAGATCAGAGACTACATCAGAGCCACCGAGGCTAGAGTCTTGGTTTTAAAAATCACTGAGTAATAATTATAATAACAATTAAAATAATCCACTTAATTAGACATTTAAAGAGAACCGGAAATCTGGAAATAAACAGTTTAAATAGTCAAACATTAAACATTTTTGTTCTTTTCTGTCTTGACACTTTTTTCTAATTTTACATCGATGTCCTGTTTGTTTAAATAAAAACAACTGGTCTTTAGTTTATTTAGTAATAAAGTGTCAGTGAATGTTTAGTAGCTCTGGGACAAAAGGCTCCCTGGTTTTGATGGGTGCATGGTGGTTCTGATAAATAAACGGGATCCAGATCATTCTTCTTCATTTGTGTTTGATGAAGTCTGTTTGTGTCACGAACTCCTCCCGCTGACTTCATTCCAATCATTCCTGCCACCGACGTGGCGGCTGACGTCATCACGCCGACACTACTTAAGGAAGTGCCGGCGTTTCATTCATTACTCAGTCATCGTTCTCACCAGACTTTGTTCCGAGTCTCCAGGCTTACAGCCCTCTAAACCTTCAAACTAAACCTTCAGGAGATAACCACGCTGGTTATTTCCATCACTCCGCGTCTGGGCAACAGATCCTCTCAGTCACGCTCCAGATCTGCCAACGAACCTGACAGTTTGATTTAAAGGAGCAATATGTAAGAATTCTACAGTAAAATGATCACCAAACAGTCTAATGTCTGAATCACGTTGGAAGGAAGGTTATACTGAAACAGCCGGCTGGGGGTTTGTCAGCTTTTCCCCTTTCAAAATGCTGAAACAGAGACGTTTGTGAGGTTGCAAGTCTGCGCCCATCTGCAGCGCAGGCGTTTGTACGGTAGTTTGACAGCGGTGGGCAAAAAGCTCCAGGGTTGACGAGTGGGCGATGTGCTGCTGAAGCTGTAAGTTAGTCACCACAACTTCTGTTCTGGGGACAACTTTATGTAAGGTGGGGGGCATGTGCCCCCTGTCCACCCCCAGGATTTCTGCCTATGAATAAGTTAACCACCACACCTTCTACTGGTACTGGAAAAAAAATCTTTTCTATGTTACATTTCTGTACTTTCCCAGGAAGATGTTCCTGTTAAGGACATGTCACCCTGCCAGAG